GTGGGTGGAGCTGTGGCCCGACGCGGAGGAATGCCAAGACGAGGAGTTCCAGAAGCAGTGTCAGGACCTCGGCTCCTTCACCGAGAGCATGGTCGTCTTCGGCTGCCCCAACTGACCGCGCCCGCGCCCCCACCCCCAATAAACTTCCTTCTCCTTCACGTCCTCCCCAAGGCTGGAATTCTTCCAGGGAAGGCAAGAGGCCATCTCCACCTGCCTCACCTGCAGCCCAGCTCCAGCCTACCTGAACCCTCACCTGCCCCTGCTTCATTTTTTTCCTCTTCTTTTACATGCAAGAGTGCTGGCTGCTTTGCCCAAAGAGGGCACGCCTGCTTCACCTGCACCTGGCCTGACGCGCACCTGCATCTCACCTGCACCTGGCCTGACATGCACCTGCATCTCACCTGCACCTGGCCTGACACACACTTGCATCTCGCCTACACCTGGCTTGACATACACCTGCATCTCAACTACACCTGGCCTGACATGCACCTGCATCTCACCTGCACCTGGCCTGACATGCACCTGCATCTCACCTGCACCTGGCCTGATGCACACCTGCATCTCACCTGTACCTGACCTGATGCACACCTGCATCTCACCTGTACCTGACCTGATGCACACCTGCATCTCACCTGTACCTGGCCTGATGAACACCTGCATCTCACCTACACCTGGCCTGACATGCACCTGCATCTCACCTACACCTGGCCTGACATGCACTTGCATCTCACCTGCACCTGGCCTGACATGCACCTGCATCTCACCTGCACCTGGCCTGACATGCACCTGCATCTCACCTGCACCTGGCCTGATGCACACCTGCATCTCACCTGCACCTGGCCTGATAAACACCTGCATCTCACCTACACCTGGCCTGACATGCACCTGCATCTCACCTGTACCTGGCCTGATGCACACCTGCATCTCACCTGCACCTGGCCTGCCACGCACCTGCATCTCACCTGCAATCTCCATGTTTCCCTGAATTCTCATCTGCATCTTTTACCTGCATCCTCATCTGCAGCTTGCTACCCCTTCACCTGAGTTCTCACTGACTTGCTTACCTGTTTCCTTATCAATATTTTCATCTGAATCTTTATACCTGCCCTCTGATCTGCACCCTCACCTGTATCCACCTGCATTATTTTTTTTGCATCCTCCCTGCCGCCCCACACCTCCATCTTTATCTGTGAGCTCACCTTAACAGCATTCTCACTATTTTCCAGCATCTTCTTCTGCAGGTGTATTTTCTCTGTGTTCTTATCCGGGGTCTCACTTGTGAGTTACCTGCATCCTTCTCTGGGTCTCTTCCTGTGTTCTCACCTGCATTCTCACCTGCGTTCTCACCTGCAGATTTACCTGCCTTCTTACCTACACCTTCCCCTGTGTCCTCAGTGGCGTCCTGAACCTGCTCTGCCTAGTCACCTGCATCCTCACCTGTCCTCATTTCCAACCCTCCTCCCGGCTCACGCCACCAGCCCCAGTCTCTAGATGGGCCCGGACAGGCTAGTCAGTGCCTTGGGGTGGAGCGCGCCACCCGCTGCACCGACAGAGGGGGTGGGGGTGGGCAGGGCGGCGTTTCCGCTGGTGCCCGGGGGAGGGGAAGACGTGAGTCAGCAGTCAGGGAGGCAGTGTGGGGGCCGTTGTGGTCACAGCGTCACCGGGACTGCGTGGGGAGCAGCGGCCACGGGTGTTGGGGGCCACCACTGCTGCTAAGGGGAACTGGGGCCCCCAGCGCCTCTTCTCAGGGCACCGCTGGCCCCTTGGAGGCCGGGACGGTGCCTGTGTTAGGGGTGGGATCCAGTCTCCCAGCTCCGCCACACCAGGTCAACACGGGACATACCCCTGAGCCTGCAAGTCCCTCCGGCACAGCCTCCTTCCCCTCCCTGGGACACCCTGGTCCTGGAGACCCCCACTTCCCAATCCCAGGAGTATGGGGACATGGGACACAGCCCGCCCTGTCCTTCCAGCCCCAAATGCCAAAGTGTCCCATAGAAGGGAGTCCCAAGGTGCCTCTGTGCTCACTGGGAATCCCAGCCGATGCCCTCCGCCAGGCCACCACGCTACTTCCCGTCCGTCTCGGTCCATCTCCCTTTCACCTGCTGTGGGTTCGTTTTGTTCATGTGTTCAAAAACACATGCTTTTTGGTTTTGTCTATGCCTGTTTTTATTTTGAGCTGAAATCTATTGGTGGAAGCGGTGACCAGGACAGACAGGATTTTGTTTTGTTTTGTCGCCCAGGCTGGAGTGCAGTGGTATCATCACAGCTCCCTGCAGCCTCCAACTCCTGGGCTCAAGCGATCCTCCTGCCCCCACGCCTCCCCCAGGCTAGCTGGGACTATCAGGCGCATAGTGCCACCACCACAACACTCTGGCTGACTTTTTAACACATTCTTTTTTTTCTGTAGACGATGGCGGTCTTGCTATGTTGCCCAGGCTGGGTCTCCGCACCAACCATGGCCTCTCAGCAATCCCTCGCGTCTCGGGCCCGGCCCAAACGTGTATATATCGAGTGATGTGAGCGGTTAATTTTTGTGTGACAAAGCTTACGCCCAAGCTAGCAATGGCTGGTTGTTTTGGTCCACAACACGAGTCTGCATGTTGGCTAAGGAGCGACTTCCTTAGATGAGGCACATTTGAAGATGAGCCTTGGTCATGTGAGTCGACGCCCACGTTCGATCACGTTTGAAGGTCACGAGGCAGCAAACTGCTGAGGTCTTCTCCCGGGCAGAAGAATCGTATGCCGAGGGCGTCAAGGGCTGCAAACAGCTCAGAACTTCCGCCTTCCTTATGCGTTTCTCACTGGGCCAACAATGGTAAAATGAAAAAACAAAAAAAACAAAGAATTACCGCCTTAGTGTTCCACCTTGAGGGCCTCAAGACTAGCACGCCGTTAGCCTTGCCTGAAGCTTCCACTTTTGCTGGCTTTCCCTGTGGATTTATGGTGTGCAACCCCCAATGATCATGTGAGCCATTCCTGTAAAACACCTTCAATGTCTCCCCGCGGATGTTCACAATAAGGAACACAAAAAAATAATAGTCCATCAATGCGTCCCTTCTCTGTCTCTCCTCCTCATCATCTCTGTTTCTCTCTCTCTCTCGTCTCCATCTGTCCTCCTCTTTGTTCTCTGTGCCCTCTTGAGGGCGCTTCCCCCCCCTCTCCTCGTCTCTCTTCTTCTCCGTCTCGA